TTAAAACTATAGAAAAAAAAATCTTATGACAATGCTTAAAATTAAAATGGTCATGCAATGTTAATAAGTTTGCTTTTAACTTTCAAATAAACATGCAATTTTTTTTCTAAAATATAATTTTTAATTATATCTACAATTACATGTTACAAAATAAAATTCAAAATATAAAATTAGACAATTATTTTCAACTACAATGCTTAAAAATAAAATAATCATACAATGTTTTTAAGGCTACTTATAACTTTCAAATAGACATATAAATACTTAAAATTATTTTTAAAATATAATTTTTAATTGTATTTACAATTACGTGTTATAAAATTAAATTCAAAATATAAAATTAGACAATTATTTTCAACTACAATATATAATCTAGTACAAAATTTTTTTTAATGACAATGCTTAAAATAATATGATCATACAATGTTTTTAAGACTACTTATAACTTTCAAATAGACATACAAATACTTAAAATTCTTTTTAAAATATAACTTTTAATTGTATTTACGATTACATGTTATAAAATTAAATTTAAAATATACAATTAGGCAATCATTTTTCAACTACAATATATAATCCATTACATGTAAATTCTGTACAATATATTAATAAATTATAATTAATTAACATTATAAATAATTCAATTATTAATTAAATAATTTGTATTTATATTAAAACTAAATAACATGTTCAAATAGACACAAAAACAATGTCATTTATTTAGTTTAAAAGTCATACATAGTCAATCTCTTCTATAACTATCAAAACATACTAGAATATCGAGAGTTTCATTTTAAATTATAATATTGGTTGTGATGATTATTTATATGATGTATGAATGGTTAGAATTTAGAATATCTTTAATCCACCAAATAATGAGAAACATTATTACAGTATGAAAAGAATAACAAAATTGCTATTATAATATATTAAATTTGAATTGTAATATTTTATTGACAAATCACCATCTAATTTGCCACATCAATTAAAAGTTTGATAATTACTATTTAAAATATAATTATTTAAAACTTAACAATTTTAACGCATTGTTAAACCAAAATTTTGTATAACTTATGTTAGTAATAAATAATTTGCATTATAGTAGAGTTAACATGGCAAATGAGATGCTCTAAAACTAGTTTATGTGCTCTACACAAGCAACATACTCTAACTCATTATTTAACATAAATAATAAATTTTTATTAACCATTTAATACCAATTTTGAATTCCTTATAAACAATCACCATTAACGTAAAAACTTCTTAATTCAATTTTGGATTGCTTAAATCCTTCGTGTCAATTTGGACTCACCTAAAATAACTTAGTTCATCCAATTTAGTTGCTCCCTTTAATACTCTAAGATTCATTTCACTATAATACATAATATTCATGAAATATTTTTATTTAAAAAATAATAATTCATAATTAACCATTTTAAAACTATAATAAAAATAAAATCTAATGACAACTCTTAAAATAAAATGGTCCTAAAATGTTTTTAAGTTTATTTATATCTTTCAAATAGACATATAAATACTTCAAATTCTTTCTAAAATATAATTTTTAAGTGTATACAAAATTACATGTTATAAAACTAATTTCAAAATATAAAATTAGACAAACATTTTTTGAGTATAATATATATTCGTTAGATATAAATTTTCTACACTATATTAATAAATTATACTTAATTAACATTATAAAAAATTCAATTAAATTAAATAATTTGTATACATGTTAAAAATAAGTGACATAGTAAAATACACACAAAAATAATATCATTGTACTTAGTTTAAAACTCATACTCAATTTCTTCTATAACTATCAAAACATATTGAAACATTTTATTTTAAATTTTAGTATCAACTATGATAATCATTTGTATGATTTTTGAATTGTTAGAATGCCTTCAATCCATAAAATGATTAAGAAATATTCTTAGAATATAAAAAATAACCAAATTTTATATACTTATTTTACATTATCAATTTTGATTTTAATATTTTATCTTGAATTTAATTCTAATATATTTCTTTTTCACTTAAAATTATATTATTTTTTATTCTTATTAGAAAGAATCTAAAGTTCCACATTGATCGGAGATAGAACATTGAAATAATTTATATTGAGTAGCACCCCTCACCTTACCAACCGGTTTTATAGGATTGTGTTAGATCAAACTCTAACACATTGGTTGAAGATAGAGAATTGAAATAATTTTATATAGAGTAACACCCCTTATCTTACCAACCAATTTTGTAGGTTTGTGTTAGGACAAACTCTAATAATTCTCTTCATCATATTTTCTTAATAACAAATCTTTTTCACTAAAAACAAAATCCTATCAAATCTAATACGACTAACATAATTCATTTAATTTTTGCGTGTTAATTTCAATGTAATTTTATATAAGTTTTGAAGTTTAGAATATTATAAATAACATAACATAAAATTTATTAATTTCAATATAATTTTATATAAGTTTTGAAGTTTAGAATATTATAAGTAACATAACATAAAATTTAAGATCATAATGCTTTTTTATGTGACACTTTCTCTTATTTAACTCCTTGTTGAGTTAATAAATATAACTATATATAAAAAATGTCAAAGTTAGTTAAATTTTTGATGTGACACTATTTCTTATTTACTTTTTCTTTTTATTGGGACATATCAATATCATTGAATGATCGTTTATTAATTACAGCAATTTCTTTTCTATTCATTGTCACATTATGATTCCTCTGATGGAAAAAAAATATTGCATTAGTTTCTCTTAAATATTCTTATTGGAGTTTATCAAAAAAACAATATATTCTTGGTTATTAGACAATTGTTTTGGAAGTTTTACCCTATACCCCTACACTTATGCCTATACCCCTACATTAAAAATTTTTGGACCAAAATATCCTCGTATAAAAATTTATTACTTTTTAATTTTTTTTATATTTTTTTATTTGTTTACCGGAAGACTTTTTGGAAGTCTTCCGATTCACTTTTTTTTCGTATGTTTATCGGAAGACTTTTTGGAAGTCTTCCGGTACATATTTTTTTCGTTTGTTTATCGGAAGACTTTTTGGAAGTCTTCCGGTTCATGTTTTTTTTTTAATTTGTAATTAATATTTAAAATTTATTAATTTTATATAAAAACCAATTTAGTAAATTTTTGAATATTATACTTAAAATATAAAAATTCTATAAATAGAGAATCATTTTCAGAATATTTTCTATTTACTATAATTATTAGAATACTAGGATTAAAATCATTTATTTTAAATGATCATAATAGTAGAATTTTCTCAAATATCTTATTAATCTTAAAAATTAATAAATAAAATAAATTTAAATATAGGATATAAGTTTACATTATTCAATATATTTAATCAAATGAAAACATATGTGATAAATAAATAATATATTTTAACTTAAAATGATCACAATAAGTTAACTTGCAAAATAATATAAGTAATAAATTAATAATGTATTTTATTTAAAATAATCACAATAATAAAATACGCAAATAATTTGTTTTATTTATAAGACTGATATAGTTTTATTGATTATTTAATTTTGAATACTACTATGAATATAGCATTTAATCTATACTTTAGAACTCACATAATTATAAATATAAAAAAGATCAAACAAAAATGATCAGTCCTATAAATAAAACACATTATTTACGTATTCTATTATTGTGATTATTTTAAATAAAATACATTATTAATTTATTACTTATATTATTTTGGAAGTTAACTTATTGTGATCATTTTAAGTTAAAATACATTATTTATTTATCATATATGTTTTTATTTGATTAAATATATTGAATAATGTAAACTTATATCCTATATTTAAATTTATTTTATTTATTAATGTTTAAGATTAATAAGATATTTGAGAAAATTCTACTATTATGATCATTTAAAATAAATAATTTTAATCTAATTGTATTCTAATAATTATAGCAAATAGAAAATATTTTGAAAATGATTCTCTATTTATAGAATTTTTATATTTTAAGTATAATATTCAAAAGTTCACTAAATTGGTCTTTATATAAAATTAATAAATCTTAAATATTAATTACAAATTAAAAAAAAAACATGAACCGGAAGACTTCTTGCTTCCAAAAAGTCTTCCGATAAACAAACGAAAAAAAATGAACCGAAAGACTTCCAAAAAGTCTTCCGGTAAACATACAAAAAAATGTGAACCAGAAGACTTCCAAAAAGTCTTCCGGTAAACAAATAAAAAAATATTAAAAAAATTAAAAAATAATAAATTTTTATACGAGGATATTTTGGTCAAAAAAATTTTAATATAGTGGTATAGGTACAAGTGTAGGGGTATGGGTAAAACTTCCAATTGTTTTTAACATTTTCCTGACAAGTTATTGAAGTTCATGAATTTATTACTCCTTCCACTTCCATCTCAACCTAAGACATAGCATGTCCTCGAGTTTTTCCACAACATTCCACATTGCTATTACATTACATTACATCTATTATTATGAATAAAAAGATAACCATGCTTCAGCTTTTACACTCACTAGCCCTAAACAGATACCTGTATAAAAAGCCTGCAATTCATAGCTAGATCCATTGATTTACTTTGGCTTATGAAAAAGGAGGATGAGTCAGATCAAATAAACAATTTTTCTAGCTAAGTTTACACCTCTTTTCCTTCTCTTAGAAGTTGCTGGATTTAAAATTGGTTTCAGCCTTTGATTGAATCAATTCTTTACCAGTAAAATACTGGTCAGAAATACAGTTACAATGCCAATGTGTCCTGAAGTCTCTTACAACAAGCAATCACTAGATCTTACAGTCTAAGACAAATGTTACAAACTAAAATATGACCCTTTTCCTAAAACATATTCTGTTAATCTCACATCACAGTGGTATGTAACAACCCACTGCGACAGTGTACAGTTAAAGCTAAAATATCATGAATGCTAAAGCATAATCCAAGTAATTGTTTCACACCAATTTGTAACCTACAAAGCTTTTGCTTCTGTAGCAGTATGAAGAAGCTCATCCGGAGTTGCAGCTGGATCAAGATCAAAACACCGACCCTGCAATTTGCTTTCCTCCCCTTTCAGCAACCAAGAAGGAACTTGATGTGAAAAACGTACCATTTCTCTTCTCGGTATCCATCTCTCAGCACTTTGGTCAGGATTCCTTTTGTATACTGTTTTGAATCCAGATAACTTGATAAGAGGAGAAACACAGACACCGAGATCCTCGGAGTAATCATACAGCACCTCCACCATGTCATATTCATGCCTTACTTTGTCCGGTGTAGAGTGGTTCCAATCTGGCGACCAATTTCGATAAACAGCCCATATATCTCCACTTCTTGGATATATGCGAACACAACCACCTCGACCTGCCTTCTCACGGCTTAGAACATGAGAAAATATGTTGACTTGGTCAACAATATCTGAAGTCCAAGCCCTGAAATTTCCACAAGATTTGGTAAAACCTGATTCAAGCCAGTTTACTGAGCCAAACTCGGTATCAGTTTTGGAATTTAAGTAACTGATATGGATCTTAAAAGGATTAACAGATAAAACCTCGCGGATCAGACAATACAATCGTGGCATTCCGTCTTCCTCATCATATAAAGCCCATATTTGCTTTGGCTGGAAACATTCCTCTGTCCTATCTTTGTCGAAGTCGTGAAAGTCAGAATCCGGGACAGTTATTGAGATCGGATTGACTTTCCCGTGTTCAACCGTTAGGCCAGAAACATTCAGAGGTGCTTTCCTACATGTCTGTCTTTTGACTTGACAAACATCAAGGTGTGCCTTTTCTTTCTCTTTTAGAGCTGCAGCTTCAGATGACAACTTCATTTCTTCGAGTTTCTTCCTAATAACTGTCCTTGCTTTCTCAATCAATAATTTTCTCGCGTCAAATGCAGGTGGAGTGAAACAGTGTTTGGTTTGAACTTCATTTACACCGGAAAGCTTCTGGCCAAGTCTGCTATTTCCAACACTATCGTTTCCATTTGACATTACTGCTTCTGGAGCACATTTTGACCCTTTTTCATCATATCCGTTTCTGAAACTGGCTCCCACTGTAATTTTAGGTTTCTTGTCAGGTCTACCTAGCTTAACTTCATGCAGTTCATTACAGGAGAACGATACGTGTGAGTTTATGTTGACCATGGTCTCCGCCATAGGATGCCTTCCATTAGCTACTTCTGGTTTGACCTTTGGTCTTCCCCTCTTTGCATTTCCATTGACCTGATAAACAGAACCAGCAGGTAGAGCAGTAGGTGATCCGTTTTGATGGATATAACCAGCAGAGCCCATCTGAAACGAAACATTTGAAACATATTCGTAACCGTGTCCAGAATGGTATCCTGGGACTCCATTCCCATTAAAATAGGGGGCATTAGACGGAGCATATGTAACTCCGTCAATTGATTGATTTCCATACCCATTTCCTGGCACATATGGCACAGGTTGATACGGAAATGAACCATTTGCTGGGGCTGCACCAGTTTCAACCGCAATAAAAACGCCGCGGCAGTTCTTACAAGAGAGTTTTTTATTCACGTACTTGCGCATATACTCATACTGAACCTTACAAGCGGTACAGATTGTCCAAAATGTGTCGAGTTTACTACAAGAGGTCGGCGGCATCTTGGAACAGTTGTTATAACCTGTAGCCTGAACAACAGAAGAATAATTTCTCTTGAGATCATAAGAACTACGCATAGCATTGTCGAGACAAGTCCACGCCTCTGAAACAAGCTTAAACGCCCCATCAGCTCCAACACATTTGTTCTTATCTGGATGAAGCAACACTGCCAACTTCTTGTACTTTCTTTTGACAGCCGCTTCGTCTGCAGTAGGTTTCAGTCCAAGAACCGAATAATAATCAAGTTTGCCGTTATGTCTGAACTCAGAAGCAAAATAAACTTCAAAAGTTGCCACCATTTGAGATACACCATCCAACTCAGGACAAAGTGTTTTAGCCTTTAAAGCATAGTTTTTCGCACCTTCAAAGTCTCTCTGAGAAAATCTCTTCTCAGCAATCTCTATCGCCTTAAGCGCTTCCTCTTTATTTTCTTCCATCCCGAAACCAAATCACTTCACAACTGAACTTTAAAAAAATCTACAAACAGCCCAACATCGTTTCCAATATCATACATAACCTCATTTCCATGCCTTCTGACAGATTTAGAATTTAAAAAAAAAAAAAAGTGAGAAACTTTAATTTTGAAGTTCGAATCCAACACAACTTTCATTGAGAACCATACTATCCATAAACATTTTCACAAAAAAGAAACTGAACAAACAAACTCAAATTATGAACTACAATAAACAGATCAAGACATTCAATCGATTGAAACTAAACCAAACCCTAAACACAATTTTCAATCTTGCATATAAAATAAGTAAAATCAGCAAACTTCACTTACTATTTCCATCTATTTCCTAAATCATGCAAGCAGACAAACATTTCCAAATCCAAAATCAAGTAGCAATAATTCATAGTTCATTATTCTTAGCAAAAAAAAAAAAAAAAACTAAATCTAACAACAACAAAAAAAACCTAACTTTTATGTCAACAACTAATTCACCTAGATTTAACAAACAAACAAAATAAAAATTAATTTATTTTCACAAAGATCGAAACCCCATAACCAAAAAAAAAATCTTATATTAAATTCAAAAAATTAAAACCCTAATCCAGATGCAGAAAAACAAGCGCTAACTATAACATTCAAATTTCAAAAATAAAATACCTCACTGGTGTTGAAGATGACCTAGATCGCCACGTGTAGTTGAAAACCGAAGCAAATCTAAGCTGAAGTAAGAACGAATCTAACTCTAACTGAACCAAAAAAAAAGGGGGAAAAAGTGAGATTTGTGTGAGAGTGAAGAAATTGAAAAAAAAAAGTTGAAAATGGGATCTGAAATTGAGAAGAAATCGGAGAAGGAAAGTGCGGCGATGAATAGGAGATTCCGACAGAAAATCGCCGAGATTAGAAAAAAAATTAAAAAGGAATTAATAGAAATAAAATGAAATAATATTTTTCAAACGCTGTTATTATTATTACTGTGAGGTGGTTGGAATAACTAACGTGCACCGTTGGTGCGTAATGGAAATTGTAATTTCTTTTTTTTTTTCTTTACTTTATTAAAAGTATTTATTTATATATTTTTACTTGTTATTTGTTTTTATTTTTTACTTTTTTATTATTACTATTATTATTATTGAAGTCTAAGTTTATGTGTTTTTTGGTGGGAGTTAGAAGTTAGAGATAGGAGTGTTATGTATTTGGTGCTAAGTTGGATGATGGTTTGGAGCAATATTAGTGACACTTTTATTGCTAGTGGATTTTAGCTAGATTTTTTAACTAATTTATTTGGGTTGAATTTAAAAAATAAGATAACACATTTGTCAAAAACAAATAGGTTATCTTATCTTAAAAGCATGTATCAGGTTTTTTATACTTTGATCAAAAATGGCATTTGAATTTAAAAGGCGGTGTTCATTTCCTCTATGTAATGTTTATTAATTTTATAAAAATTATAAATAAAAAAAATTGTATAGCGTGGGTATGAAAATTCGGATGCCTTAATTATATAATAAATTTTTTTATTAGAAAGACACCGTCCTTCAAGTTAAAAATATGTTTGAATTTTAGAATTCGGATATACTGTTTATGGAATTAAGAAATATTAGACAGAAAAATAAATGTAACGTTATTTTGTATGAGGAATATTTTTTATGATCATAACATAAAAAATATTAAACCCTTTCAAAATTTTCTCCCATTCTTAATCAATATTTTTACTTGCAAATAATATTCAAGTGTATTTCGACATCAAAAGACACAAAATCATCTAGAATTACAAGTGATGTATATTTATATCATTGATCATCATATTGATAATTTAGTTTTCTTTTTTGTCCTATGAATGCATAATTCAGATATTAAACTCTGAAAATGTGTAGGATTGGTCCAGAAATTCAAATCTGAATTCGTCCAATGTTGATTGAAACTGTCTTTTTTTTTATTGGTTGTAGTTATGTTTCACTTTCGTGTTGTAATAAAACACTCTGATGTTGGGATCAAACACCATGGTGTTGTGATTAAAGTTAATGTATCTTAGGATTGTGATCTAAAACTACCCCTAACAAGTTGTTGTCCACGTTGATGGTCGAAAATAATTTACCAATAAATATAGTTTACTTTATGTGAACGTGTCCTTGAATGGGTTCGTACAAATGTTGTTAATTAGGGTTCAGCATGGTCATCAAGAGGTTAATTTTGGTTATGATTGAAGACAAACATTTGTTACTATGAAATTCAAAAGAAGTGATTGATATAAAGAACCTACCCGAAAGTTGAAATGTGATGACATTGGAAGAAGGAAATGTGAATGTCCTTTTAAATTGTGTCGGTACCACAAGGTGAATAATACATGGATATTTAATGTGATTTGTGTTGTACATAATCATGGATTAGGTCACAAGTTAGTTGGACATCCGAATGTATGTCGTCTAAATGTTGAAGAGAAGAAACTTGTTTTTGACATGATATTAAACATGGCTCAACTCAAAAACATACTGCAACTTTGAAAAGCAAAAACCCTAAAGTGTCTCAAATATTAGACAAGTACACAATGTTCACAAATGACATTCACAAGGAGATAAGAGGTCCAAGATTTGAAAGGCAACAATTGTTGTAACTGTTGGATGATGATCGATATGTAGTTACGTACAAAGTGTGTGAGGATGGAAAATCGTTCGAGATATATTTTGAGCTCATCCCGATTCCATGGAGTTGTTTAATATATTTTCCACGGTGTTGATAATTTATTCGACAAGTACAAATTTCTTCTTCTGGAAATTGTTGGTGTTAGTTCTACAGAGATGACTTATTCAGTTGGCTTTGCATTTTTCGAATGCGAAAAAGAGAATAATGTTACATGGGCTTTGGGAGTGTGTCGAAAATTGTTGAAAGACCAAAAAATCATGTCACGAGTGATTGTCACTGATCGCGGTGTTGCACTGATAAATTCAACAGCAAAGGTGTTTCATACATCATATGATTTACTGTGTAAGTATCATATAATAAAAAATGTGAGAGGTGGACTTAAGCTTACGATGGGGACCAAACAAATCAAGGATGAATACGGGAAAATGGTCAAACCTAGTTAGATTTTGGAAAGCATGATTGATGTCTCGAATGGTATAATAAATTATTCTACAAAAGAATTATATGTCGAATCTATCATACAATTGGTATGGGCTTGTGTGAAATATCATGATTTCTTGCAATATGTCGAAAGCATTATATTATAACAGGTGAAGAAGAAAATTATTTGTACATGGATTGGTCAGGTTAGACACTTTGGAAATACTATAACAAATATAGTTGAATTTGCTCATTCGACATTGAAGAACTGGTTAGGAAATAGTAAAGAGGATTTGTGTAAGCGGTAGGAATTAGTGAACCAAATTATTCAAATTCAACATAGCAAGATACAAACATCATTTGATTGCAACATCACAATATTAGAACATAAATTCAAATACAATGATATGTATTCACAATTGTTCAACAATATATCTCAAGTGGGATTGAACTTTATTTATCATGAAATTCTGCGAGTAGAGAAAACAAGTCCATATAGCTCAAATGTGGTTATAAACTTAGTAGAATATATGGTCTTCTGTGTGCTAGTTTTATTTTCTAATAAGCAAAAGCTTGATTGACAAGTATGTATGGATGAGGTGTTAGATGATGGCAATGATCTAGAAGGGGGTTTGAGTAGATCACTATTTTTTAACAAAATCAACGCTTAAAAATTATTTCAAAAATATGCAGAAGTGGTCATGAATTTTAATCGTCTAAACGAACCGTTATTGGTAAGATCAGATATACGTAGCGAAATGGAACAAAATCGATGAGAAAATAAGTCAATACGTTGCCAATTAACCAATACAAATAAAGATCTCTTTGTATCAACCGATTTCCAATGAATTATAAGATGTAAAAATTCACTTGACAAATTCACAAACAATTTGTGTGCGATCAATACGTCGAACACTTGGTGTGCAAAACACCCCAAGTTGAATTTCCTATGAAATGATAGTGCAAGGTTTTTCACAATTACAATCCAAGTGATTGTAATGAATTTTCAAAACATATTTTCAGCACTACACAATAGTGGAAATTTATCGAACAATTAATATCAAACAAATGTAATCAACATAAAATAAAGTGATAGAGAAAGGGAGAGCGACACCTGATTTGTTTAGGAAGTTCCCCTTTTGTCCTCACTTCGGGTTCGTCTGCCCCCAATTCTAAAACTAGAATTGAGATATATATAATATCAAGTTGCAAAGTTTTATACAAGAGAAATTATAGCACTTGTTTACTGTGATTTTTGGTAAACAACCGCTGGTCTATCAATTTGGGATGAAATTGACTAACTTGCAGGATCGACCATACTAAATCCTATAACATGTGCTAAGTATGTAAGGGTGAGATTCTACTTTCGACTGGGTAAAGGTAATAATGTAAAGTGCGATGATGTAAAAGGTTGTGGAAAGTAAAGCTGAAAGTAAATGGCTTTAAAATAACAACTGTAATGTAAAGGCGAAAAGACTACTGCCAAACTCCACGTTCGACGTAATTCCTTTGAAAACTAAATGACTTTTGAGAATAAAGATGCAAGTAAGTAAATGGCTTGGAAAGTAACTCTAATCAGAACTCCACGTTCGACTAGGGGGTCTTTGCAAAGTAAATGGGCAGAAAAGTGTAAAGGGCAGTTTTGAATATAAAAACTGAAAGTTAAAAATGGCAAGTGAATTGTAAAGACAAATTACATTGATAAGAAAAGTTTTGGTGTTGTATCACGTACATTCTCGTTAACTCGTTTCTCTACACGCGGGTACTTTGAGTTGTATGAACTAGTACAATAATGAATGAACACCCCTATTACATAAAATTTACACCTATTTATAGTGCTATAGAATAACTGCTACATGGCGGTTGAGACTTCCTAGCATACTCTTTTGGCGCTTCTTTGTTCTTCCAACCGCTCACACGTTC